TATATATATATTAAGCGTTTCACCTCAAGCAAGGCGAGAAGCTACTAGGACGCAAGGGATTACAGAAGATTTGGAGTAAGATCAGATATGAGTGATAGAGGAAAGGATGAGGAGAAGGATAGTGGATAGATCAAGGCAACTGGAGATGTCGATTGACATTACATTTGAATATTTGGAGACTATAGCTCTCAGGGAAACTGGAATAGGGAAGGGAGTTCCACAGGCGAGAGGTGCGAGACATGAAGCTATTGGAGTAGTATATATATATAATAGTAAAGAAAGATTGTCCACATATGATTGTTATAATATATAGATATAATAGCCCAATGAAAGAAATTCGGAAGATAATAAAACAACAAAAAAATAATATTGATAATGAATTAATACTATTTATTGTATATTAGTAAGCCTTTTGACCAAATGGAACTATTAGGAGAAAGATGTTAAAAATTGTAATTTTCGGATAGGCCTATGTCATTTCTGAACAAGACGAGAAATTAAAAAAAATGAAAATGAATTGGCAATTTATTTTTCGGGGAATTTTTTTTTTTTTGTCGCATGTGTTATATTATCGAAGAGATTCGATAATTATATAGTCTTGTTGTTTGCCTTCCACAAACACTCTACAACTCTAATCGTGGCAGCATTTCATTTAAATCTAATGGCAGTTAACATTTACAATCACAATTTTAGCTCAACGAAAAACTAAAAACACATTCAGACAGCTCCTTCCGAAGAACCGCTATTTTGTGGCAAATACTCCAGCGGTCACTAAAATCTTAAAATATTCAAGTCTGGGGTCAACTAGTTTCTATCCTACATATCCATAGAAACTGTAGTTCTTACCTCCTCGCTCATACAGCAACCGTCTACCCTGAGAGTCTCTTAGTCCCTGTATCAGGTGAACAATTAGCAAAAAAAAAAAAAAAATTCATGACACTTCATATGTACATTAATTATTAACGTATCTACATTTGTACAGAAGCAAGAAATATCAAGTAACATTTTATTTATGATCTGTGGTCTTTGAGAATACGAGTATTAATAAGGAACTTCTGCCTAAGTTCAAATAAGAGATGATACCACCACACTATTTACATGTTTCGGACTACTGTCCTCATCTTTGTCGCCATATTTATTACAATGTTTCCGCCGTTGTACGCTCCGGCCTTCTTCAGGTGGTTGGAATGTCGAACTGAATCCTCTATTTCGCTCATTGGGGTAGACTTCTCAAGGACACATGGCACAGTGGATAAAGACGTTAGTTAGATCCAGTGACAGGACCCAAAGATTCTGAGTTCAATACCTGGTTAAGGCGGTGGAGAACTTGGAGAAGGGAATTAACAGATAACTAATAACTGACATCCATTAGAAATGGCTAGTGGAACTAGAACAGTCTACCCCAGTGAGCAAAATAAAAGGTTTAGTTCGACATTCCAACCCCCTGAAGAAGGCCGGTACGTACAACGGCCGAAAACTTTGTAATAAATATGGCGACAAAGATGAGGACAATAGTCCGAATAATGTAAATATGGTACATAATAGCTTATCTCAGAAATATAGACAGATAATGATACTATCAATAAAATAGAATTTGAATGTAGCCAGTGAACTGGATGTAATTGCACATGACGCCGCTAAGTGTTCAAATTCGACGCTGTTCTGAGACAGTCTACCAGGTAGAGTGTTTATCGATTGTCGGTTTTTGTTTCCCGTTGATTTTATTCTCATCTTTGTAAGAATGTTTGCCGATTTTCGCGATATCTGATAAAAGCGAACAGAGATTTTACATGAAGCTTTAATTTACTTTGGAGAAAAAAATGCCGCTCAAATTCTTGTAATGCGTCAAGGAGCTTTTAAGAAATAAGCTCCAGGTAAAACACCATTGTACGAATGATATTATTAGCATTTTAAACCTGATGAAAGAGCAACCAGGATAATCCCTGTATCCACACTGTCTTTATATCTAAGCGCTCTATCTCTTATGTTCAGCAATCTTCCTTTAAAAATACGTTTGGAGTCACTTCGACTTTAAATAACCGCAAAAGGGTTGATAAGCCGTAAAAATAAATCAATCAATCAACCGTAAAAACAAATTAATCAGTCAATCAATCAAATATATATATATATATATATATATATATATATATATATATATATATATATATATATATATATTATAAAAATGCATAGAGAAGGTATGTTACAATGGTGGGAAAGTAACCGAATGGTAAATTTATAAAAGTGTAAGTAATTATTTACACTATTTACATTGTTCGGACTGTTGTCCTCATCTTTGTTGCCATATTCACGACGTTTCGGCCACTGTACGCTCCGGCCTTCGTCAGGTGATTGGAATTTTGAAGTGAACCATTTATTTCGTTCACCGGGGCAAACTTTTCTAGTTCCACGTGTCATGCCTCTTCCGGATATCTCAGTGATCTCCCTCTCAACTCTCCAAGTTTTTTGTTCACCACTATTGCACTTATAACTCTTTAGGTCAAGTTACTGTATCCAGTCAACGCTTTTATCCACTGGGCTACATGCCCTTGAGGGCATCAGTGTACTTATTTTTGTGACTTATAAACTTAATGCCTCAGTAACAGAGCTCGTATTGCAATATTGCTGTTATTATTACTTTTCTCTAGCACACTGAATTATTGGTTCTCATATTGTATTCATTTCTATGCTTGGCCGGCTTGGGAGATTTTTGTAGCATAGCATATGTGCTGATTCCTTAAGTTTTCGTATTTTACAGTGATGTTCTCTTTCTATTATTTCAACCTTACCCCACAGAGGGTGGTGATCTTCATTTTTCTTCCGTATGTGTATGAAACAATTTAAATAGCGTAAATAATAACAATACCTCAGCTCAGAAATATAGACAGATAAATTCAAAACTGTTCTAGTCTGTATATATGAGATCATATGTATTATCATTATAAATTGCATTATCATAGGCATTATCTGTATATCATATTGCATTATCATAGGCATTATCTGTATACCATATTCATTATCTGTATATCATATATGCATTATCTGTATATCATATTGCATTATATAGATTATCTATATACGATATTGCATTAGCATATGCATTATCTGTATGTCCTATTGCCTAATCATAGGCATTATCTGTATATCATATTTCCATCTGTATATCATATCACATGCATCATTTGTATATCATATAGCATTATCATATACATTATCTGTATATCATATTGCAATATCATATGCATTATCGGTATATGATATTGCATTATCATAGGCATTATCTGTATATCATATCATATTCATTATCTATACATTTTATTTCATTGCGTAACCCCCTTTTTTCTTCTTTATTTTTTTGCAGATATTTATATTTAAATAAGTTAAAATCCGGGATCTATCTAATTTTCAAAGAGTAGACATTTTGGGAGTGCGAATAAATGGAGATTCAGTAATTAAAACTTATTAATTGTTTAATGTTTCGAGAGCTACAGTCTTTAAAATCACGTTATCATTCCAAAACCAACGTAAAACCAGCTTTGAGAAACATAATTTTAGATCAGAGGCAAAACCCACATAAAGAAGCCGAAGAATAGGGAAACGTATTGAATCTTAAAAAAAAATAACATTGAACTACATCAGCACAAGTAACAGCAGCTCTCAATCA